ATACTTTGAGTCATGAGAGTTTTTTTCAGAGGCAACTCATTCAGTATCTTCAATAGACTGTTAAAACCATCAATCAGATAGCAAGCAAGATTGCTTTACTTTTCACTTGATTGGACTGACTTGATTCCCATGACATGGCAACTCATCATGGGTAACTAATCATGGTGGGTTCTTGAGTTATCTGAACTTAGACTGCTTGCCCTAGGGTGATTTAGTCTATGGCAACAAATCACCCTGACAGTCCATAACTTGTGTTGGACCCATGATAGAACATTGTGGTGCCCAAACCTGGGGAAAAAATTCCATTCTGGCTTGTTGGGATTTGCTGGTGAGCTGCTTGGCAAGAGTGACCAAGCAGCACCCCCTCCCGGCCGATGTTATCACAGTCTGTCTTACCCATTCTGCTTCCTGTGACAGCCCCTTACCAATGTCCAAGTGGCCCTTTGCCCTTTGAAGTAACTGTCACTAGTTCCACACCTTTAAAAAAATAGCCCCAGAAAATGGTGCAACAGTGTTTTGTTTGTTTGTTTGTTTTTAAGAGTTACAGCTGGCCAGAACTTGTAGTCTGACCATGTTAATGGCCTTGTAAATTTCAGCTTTCAGGGGGAAGTGGAAAAAGTACGGCTCATCAGACTGCATATAGGCTAATGTGTGTATAGTTGCACAGTGTCAGTTGCCTAGCTGTTAATTGAAAAGTAAAGGGGAAAATGTGGTGAAAGTGGGAGCACCAAATGGGGTGGTAACAATATTACCCTCTTAGCAATGTAATCTTCTGGCTTTTAACAGATTTTAACTATTTCAGCTCTTCTTTGAATTCACTGAGATAATACACCCCCCTTTTTTGGAGCACTTAATTGCTGTGGCTGCTGTGGGACCCTGGCATCCTTTAAAAGAATAAAAAAGAAGCTATGAATAGAACGAAGTGAATGATGCCTTATTGGGGCTCAGGTGCAAGGATCACTTGGGCTGGTGCCTCATGTGCTCTTCAGGTTCTACCACCTGTACAGTTTTTTAAAAAGCTGTTGGGAATATTTGCACATTCTCTTTGGACAGGGAAATATATGCAAATGATGAAGGGGATAAACTATATCTAGTCTCTTCAAAATCCTTGTTTATTCCTTCCTTCCTCCTGCACCAATTTTTCATGGTCAGATGCACGACCTGTTTTTTACCTTCTTGCAGAAGGGTACAATCTATTATATTAATCAAGTGTGGACAAAATCTACCTTCATTTATAACCCTATTGACAACAGCATCTGGGGAAGGACAGGCTTTTTTTTATTTTGGTCTCACATGGATCATGACCTTGAGTACAGCAGCGTACATTTGTCTGTAGAAGTGAGTGACATCATATTAAAACATGGAGGTGGCAATGGTGTACCCACATGCATGCATGTGAAAGAGACAGACAGACAGACAGACACTAAGCTAAAGACTTTAAATTATGATATTGAGAATTTCTCATGGGAGTTTTTCTGCCATGCATGAAACACATCCAGTTTTTGCTATATGATGAAAAATAAACAGGGCCTGTCATGGTTCTTTAAAATGCTAACAGCATCTGTACATAGAGATGTTTGAGGATTTGATTGATCTGCATTTTGAAGTAAATGAACTTGATTCATGCTTCCTGAAGCACCATTATCCTTCAGTTTCTGCACTTCCCTAAATTTTGGAATCAGTTCTCAAATCAACAGTTGTATCCAAATGTGTATAAAATGCTTAGTTAACATTAAAATATATAAAAAATGAATATTTTAGGATGAAATACATAAGAATGTTATCTATTGAAAATAGTACATTAAAATGAGAATTGTCATGCATTATTTAAATGGAAAACTGCTGCACAAATGGACATAATGAACACAAGTGGAATTGACATGGATTAGAAACAGATTGATCTATCCATCCCTAGCTGCATGGCTTGAAGAGTCTCCTGTGTGTCTGTGTGTATGTGTGTGTTTGTTTGTTCCCTGTTTATGGATTCCCTATATCATATTTAATGTGTCTCTTACAAACATCTTGTTATTCCCAGTGAGCTTTTTCTAGAATTCTTCTTTTAGTAGCCATTAGAAGTTAGCCATACTGGTTTTCCCAGCTTTGTACTCTGTAATCACTCAGTAGGAGAGATGCTATAAAAACATGCTGTAGTGCTGACCCCATCTCTTGCCCAAATGAAACACTCCTTTTCCACATCATGCAACTGTGCTAATTAACTGGGGGATGAGAGGCACTGTTGCATATTTTCAGAGAGTTGAGACCTATTTGTTTAAGAAATGCGATTTTCTTGATGGTTTGAGATTACAACTGCAACCTTGAACTGTTTAAAGTATTGGATATTAGATGGTTTGGTACTTAGCTAAGCTGCAATTAGTATATTGTTCTTTCTCTCTTGTTTTTCATTTTATATAACTTTGCACTCTGATCTCCTTTGTACAATGCTGATACAGTTGTCATAGTTGGTCTCCTCATCTTCTAGGCAGTGTTTACTCATTGTGAAAACTGCTGCTTGAAGGCAAAATGCAGCAAAATGTAATCATGACAACTACCTTGTGGATCTCTTGAGGGAGGACACAAGTATTACTGTATGTAGTTTTAATTTTGTGAAGTGTGTTGTGAGCTCAGTATATCTTATTTCCCTGTTGCCTTGTAAAAGATTCACCTTGTGTTTAATATTCAGCCAGTTTTTTATTGGAAGAAAATGGATTGTTGTACAAACAATTCTAAATGCCAAGCTAGTTCAAGTCTATAAATAATAGCTCTACTTTCATGATACGTGACCTGTTTCCTTTATTCTGAAAACTTGAAATGTATGTGATGTGCTATAGGAACCGAGACCAAATGAGGAAACAGATTGAAGGAAAAGACAATGGTCAGGGACTGGAACTTATTCCAAGCCACTTAAAGGTAGCAGCAGCAAGCTACCATCCTTCAGTTTGATGGCCAGTGGCAAAAATGCAAACATGATTGCAAAGTGAATCACCTTTTCATCTAATATAGAATCAAGATAGAGGTAGTTGATTTGACTTCTTTATGAAGACAATGGGAGCAGAGTCCTGGTGATTCTTGTGAACTTCTTGTAACAAAAAGTCTAAATATATTTCATATATTATGTATTAAAATATCCTCTGCTTTGGGAATGTACCCTTCCTTGAACTGAGCTGTACTATCTGGTAACTAAATTTTGAGGTCCAGACAGGAAAATTATCTTGGATCTGTTTACTTAGAATATTTATATTAATTTCTGTATACAGAGTGCTTTATAACATGTTTAGTTGTTTTATACTGTCCTGATTTGAAGATGATAAGTATGTAACATTTGTTTTAAGATAGGTATATACTAACTTCATGCAGTGCACTAATCTCAGAGCCTGGGGTGTGTATCAGTGTTGAAAACTGCAATTATATGAAGGGAAAGTAGTGTTCACTTTGTTTGGTGGAAAATTTCCTTCTTGACCAATATTGCATTTTAATGCAGGGAGTACAAATTATCCAGGGTGAAGCATGGTGGTAGCTGTAGTGCTATTTCTAGCGATGTAACGGTTATAAGTTTATAGAATAAGAGTTACTGATTCATATAGGTCTATTTATCAATTTTAGGTATTTGAACAAGTTACCAAGATCATTTTTACAGTGTTCCGTTTGATCATTTGCATCAAGCTTCTGCAATAAATTTCTCTGTGGTACTTTTTTGACCTTCTATGAATTGAGGCTTATTCTTCTGTTTTACTTAGGAATTCCTGTGTGGAATCACTGCAGCTGATCTTGCACAAAAACAAAACAAAAGAAAAAACAATTCTTATTCATGATTTTATACTTCTGTAGAGCTTGAAAGGAGCTACTTGAAACCTAGGACTGGAGAAATGTAAAAAGAAAACAATCATGCCAGTAATTACTGAAGGGTTATTCTCCAGTTCCTGAGGTGGTGGTGGTGGTGATTTATTTCATTTCTGTATCATACCATAGCTGAAGCTTTCTGGGCAGTTTGCAACAGTGCAACTATTTCCCCTTTGTTTCTGCCTTCCATCAACTTTGCAGTGCAAGATGGCCCTGGGTCCTAGGGTTGCAGCAGCAGAGAACCAGTTTCCCTGCCTGTACTCTGCCAGACTTATCCAAACACAATGACATTTCACTGGAGAGCCTTGCATTCCTGGTTATTTAATGACAAATGATGAGTTGCATGAAAGGAATAAAGCAACTCACTACTCCTGTTGCTTCTCTTTGGCTTCTGCTATAACAAATGGCTTGCTGGATATTCTGCTGCTGCTGCAGTTCTAGCAGAAGGTGGTCCAGTTAGTTGCAGTTCAGGTGGATATAAGGTTGAGTGTAGCTGCTTTCCTCTTAATTCCCACTCCAACTAATGGTAGTGCCAAAAAAAAAAAAAAAAATCAAAGGTCAAATGAAAGATTAAGGATTAAGATTTTCTGTGGTGCAGTCACTTAGCATGAGTGTTTGGCCATTGAGTGGATTCCTTTTTCTGAACTACTGTGTGGGGCAAATATCACTGAAATTATATCAGGAAGTACTGTTGTACTGGCAAGATGGATGTTTTGATTCTGTATGCCCATATTTGCTCATACAGTCCATTCCAGAATATGAAACTGAAACTCTGACTTCCTATTAAGGCTCAGTTGACTTCATTCAGACATTGATATGAAATTCTCGGTATATCATTATTCTGCATGCCCATCTTTTCCTGCTGTTTCTCTTTTTTATGCATTGTCAAAATATGCTACTAAATAGCTGCTGAAAGTTGTCTCACTTGGGCTACTGTCTTACGCATACTTATTTGGATATAAGTGGCCTTGAATATGTTGTGATTTATACTGTTACGAATATAGACAGTCCCGTGACTCTTTGTGTGCCTGCTTCTGTGATGCACTCCTCAATTTTTTACTTGAAGTGACTGCAGAATGTCAGCAACTTATTTTCTTGCCTGCTGCATATGTTTGTCCATGCTTTGGTTGTTCTTATGCCTGTGTCTTCTCTGCTCTTCCCAGATTATACCCTGACTGTAGAGGCTGTGAAGCTGAAGCCGTTCTTCATGGCTGGGCACACCTTTGAAATGACATGCAAGGTATCTTCTCAGAACATCAAGACTCCTCGTTACTCAGTTCTCATTACAGCTGAAAAACCTCTGAATGACCAATCAAATCCTAATGGGACCACCCGCATAATTTCTCTCAATCAAGATTCAGTTGTCAGACGGGAAGACTGGACAGATCAGGATCGAGTGGATGGAGTAGTCTTGGAAAAGGTCCAGGAGAATGAGTTTCGCTACAGGATGTACCAGACCCAGGTTTCTGATGCTGGGCTGTATCGTTGCGTAGTGACTGCATGGTCACCAGGGGGTGGAGGCATGTGGCGAGAAGCAGTCAATGGTTTATCCAATCCCATCCAGATAGACTTCCAGAGTTCAGGTCAGTACAAAGCTCCTATGGTTAATGATTGGAAAAACATGATTATGATACTTATACCAGTCATTTGCTCAGTTAGAAAGGTTTTGGTGCATTGACTAGAATTCCCTCAAATATTTTATGCTGGTGTGTCATACATTAGGAGAGGTCTAGCTTTTAAGAAACGCTGGATAGGATCCAACTGTGCCCCGGCACAAGTGTTAATGATGTTGCACTTGCATGAATGTTTGTGGAATGTAACTAGCACTTGCTTGGGCAATGGGAAAATGCAGTTTGCTGCAGAAATAGCTAAATTAATCACCAGAACCTTCCCCTCTACTTTTTCAGATATCCATGCTTGTTAGCTCCTCTTCCTGCCTTAAATTCTGAAATTGATAGTTTAAATCTGCTGTGGGTCCTCTTGCTCTTCCATGCGAATAGTAACATGTCTCAGCATCCGTGCTGCAAGTATGCCGTTGAGAGGCTGGGTGATGCTAGTCGGGATACTTTCCATTTTCCTTTGCAGCACCTCACAGGGCAAACTGAGAGCTGCTGCTGTATAAAAAGCTAACCATGCGTGCTCCCCCCGCCCGCACTTTCTCTTCTAAAAGTACTGTTACACAGATTGTTGTATAACAAGCTGAGCCAGTCTGTGCTCTTTATGGGAATAGATGTGTAGATCATACCTTCAGCAACTCTTTGTAAGATACTGAAGGGAAAAATGACTATAATTTGCTATTTAGTATGACAATGCCAAACAGAAGTTAAGTTGTGGCAGACGTTTTGGAAAGCAGCCTCTCAGCCAGCATAGACTCTAGTGGATCTGTGACTGGAAATGGGGCTACAGAGATGGTATTATTGTAGTGTCTCTTCCTTTGCCATCTCCAGCCTCCTGCTGCATTTTCTTTTCTTTCTTTTTTTCTTTTTTTCTCCAGTGCAGCAGCTGCTTCTCTCCTAAATAGGTCCCCACAGATGGGGTGGCAAAGTTAGAACTCTGTACATGGCAACAGAGTGTTTGCTGCAATAAACACAGAAAGTGTGAAGAAAATATATGAATCAAAGTTGCAACTAAAAGCAGATCACAATTTCTCATTCTCCCATCACATATTTGTGTTCACCTGGTAAATACTATTATACTCATGGTTGCTTGTGTACAGTCCGTACGTTACCCATTTTTCCCTTACAGGAGTCTTCCTCAACCTGATATCTTCCTGAGTTGGGCTGTAGCTCCCAACTGGCTTAGGTGTCATTGCACAGCATTAGGGAGTAGTTTGTTTTTTTAAACTTGTTGAGGTTTTTATTTAAAACAAACTCTTACGATGCTTTACTTTATAATTTCAACCTTATTCAGTCTCAGCTGTACTCAGCTCTGGCAGTCATCTGGGTACTCTTAGAAAGCAATAAAGAGTGGTGGAACCAGTAAGGAGTGGTTAGAGAAATTACAAATGTCTACATAAGTGCTTTTAGTGTTTGTTTCAGTGGCTTTCTGTGTATGCTTAAAGCTGGAAGGAAATGTTTGGACCAGTAGAGTTACTACTAGTTGACTTCCTGCCAGAACTGTTTTGGAGCATCACTTGGTTTCAGGATTCTAGAACACAATGTAAACATGCAATATTTTTGCCATAGTTTATTCATCTTCCAGGTGTGACAAACTTGCTTATTTTTCCACTAATAGTCTTGGGCAGGAGCTGGATTTGAGTGAGTGGTATGCTGCAGGTGCCAAAGAAAAGGCTAACAGCAGAATTAACAGTAGCAAGATACGACCAGTCTCAAAATGAGATAAATCTGTATGTTTTGTGGATTCTATATGTTTCAGTTCTTATTTTACTTGCATTTTAGTAGGCATTTTGATCTGGGATCTGTGAGTATGGTTAGGGACATTTCAATGATAGCACCTTTACTTTTTGGCTATTCATATTCATGGTCTTGGCCATGATCGAATTGGGAAATTTTGTTGGTTTTAGGATATTCCAAGGCATCTTTGACTTCTCACCAACAAAGCTCATGTGATCTGCATTGTTTTTCTTTGAGAGCCCCCATTCTCTTAAGCATACAGACTCAGCACTTCCGTAGAAGCAGTAGATTGACACTGAAGTCTCTACTCTTAGGAGTTCTGATGTATGACAACAGTGTGAGACACAGCTATCAGCACAGATTGCTCTCAGGCAACAGCATTCAACTCTTCCTCCTACCCACAGAAAAGTCCAGTGGGACTATGGGTTGCCAGTTTGGCTACAGCACTGAAGGCTCTTCAGGCACCTTCACCACATAGCTCAAATAATCCTGAGTCGCCTTCCTTACTTTGTAGCTAGGAAGATGGCCAGGAACAATGTGGAATTGCTCGAATGATCTCACCTACCTCTCTAGCTTCCAAGTTGGAAGAAGGATGATTATTTGTCATATTCTCCATGGAGAGAATGTTTGCTGAAGCTTGCCTACTGAAGCCCACTGTAAGTGGAGGTCTTAGGACAGAATACAGATGTGGAAATGACTGCATAATCTTGCATAATGGATTCTGAGCCTTCTGAAGGAAAGCTGTTCAGCATATTATACCTCTAGAAGCAAATACGAGGTCAGTTTAGAAAATATATGTGGGAACAAAGCTTCAGATGCTTCTTGTCCACCTTTCTTTATAACTGTTAATAACAGGCTTTGGCTGTCCAATAACAAAGAAGTATGTGCCATTTTAGTGCTCCAGGTAGTGTTAAAATGATAACACAAACTGATATGTGCTGGGTGAACATGAACAATAACATTTATTACATTCTTGGTAGCAAAAGAATAACATGTTCAATATTAGAGTAGCTAGAATTGCACACACAGGCCCTATCCTGCAATGGTGTGCAGAACATGGATACCAAATTGTCCTGCAAGATTTTGCCAATCCACATGGCAGCCATAAAATATATTTAGCTCGCTGCTCCCAACCATTCCTGTGCCAGTTTTGATTAGATCCATGGCAATGAGTTACTCTGTAGATCGATCCTCCAATATACAGTTTATGCAGCTTCCTAAATTCTGCCTAAGCCCTGCTGCAGGATCTGCTCTAGTGCCATACCCTATTTTGGTTCCAATTCTGCCATGGTTAATGCTCCCAGAATTGTATATATTTGAGTGCCTTCAGCCCAGAACGAATCCCTGAATGTTTCCGGCGCATATCCCAGCTGCGTGTGGTAGAATCCATTTTGTCACCTCACCCCAGCCCCTCTCTGTTCTGATCATTATGGGGATGAAAAAGGAATGGTGGTGGTCGGGGGCAGAATTAAAAACACTACAAGCACATTTCCCAGGCCACTGGGAGGGAAAGTAACCACCAAAAATGAGTTATATTTGCTTGGAAGCTCCAAAATGTTGTTTGGGCATTGGTGAAGAAACATCACTAGAAACATTAGTGACACAATCTTTTTTGCTGCTCTTTCCAAGTGGTTCTATGGCTGATTCTAGCAACTCACTGTATCTCCCAAGTTCAGATGACACAACAGCCCACAGTGTCTATGAACAATGCTACAACAAGCCACGAGTTCTCAGAAAAAATTGTGAAATTTTATGTTTGTTGAAATTAAGTGGCTGTAGAAAGCATGCCAGGTTCAAATGACAAAACCCACTGTGGTCAGTTGCCCATGTGCTCCTGCTCTCTCTCTCTCCCTCCCTCCCTCCCTCCCTCTGTGAGAGAGAGAGAGAGAGAGAGAGAGAGAGAGAGAGAGAGAGAGAGAGAGAATGATTGACTGCTTTAGATACAGACCTGACATTTACATTGTATTAAAATCACACCATCTCTAAATGTTTATATAGATAAACATTTACATCCTGCATTTCAGAATTTCCAAAGTGACTCAGACTAAACATAGCAGTATTTCTAAAAAAGGGATTTATTCCCTCGCATGAATGCCAGAGAATTACTTCTCTCTGTGCAGTAGGACTTGTATGGCTCAAAAATATTATTTTGAATATTGGAGATCACTTAAGATAGGCCTGGGATAGGGGAAGAGGCTGCAATGGAATGGAAACTGGGGGCAGTAAAGTGGGCTCAACTTGTGCTTATCAAATGATGGATGCAAGATCCTTGGTATACCAGTCCAAGATGAACTAAATGATGTATATTATAGCAATAGCTGGCTATGTGCATGTGAAGAGACAGAATGATTTGGCTGCCCTCCCAGTGTTCTGCACTGTTAGAAGTCTGCCCTTCATCTAGGCTCCAGCAGGTCCCTACAAAAAATGCACCCACTTTTCGAATGAAATGATGAATGTGTTGTCAGGTTTTACTGCATTTTTCCCCCAGAACAGTGGCAAAACAGTGACAAGAATCTGAAACAGAGAGCTTCAGATGTTTTCTTGGTACAGATTATATTTGCAGGCGAATTACAGAACAATGTTTTGAAAACTGATTTGACAGGACTTGGGACGTAGCACAGGACATTGTGGTTTTGATTGAAAGATAAGAGTAGAACAAAATATGTTCCGTACTGACCAAGAGTGCAGGTCTAAAACAATTTGTGCTTTTTAAGTTGTAGCGGGGAGGGGTTGGTGATCATTGGACTATACTAGATGTTGTTTTGTTTTGTTTTTTTAAACATGCACATGGCGTGGACAGTAAGCAAAGAACTGTTAAAAATACTAGATTTTAGGATCATTCAGTGAAAGTGGCAGCAAATTCTGGATTTAGGGAAAGAAAAAATACTTCTGCATGCCATGTGTAGTTGTGGCAGCTAACTCTGCAAGCCAAGATGTAGTGGTGGTCAGTAGCTGAAATGTCTCGTAAGGGGGAATGAGAGAAATTCATGTGAGAGTATTCTATCAGTGGCGACAACTGTGGCTCTGTGCAGCATTAAGGCTTAAAGGCAATATGGCTTCTTCAGTACTGTGGGCAAAAATGGGGAGGGTCCTTGTCTTTGTCCTTCTTGTCACTTTCCCAAGATTAGTCAGTGTGGGGAACAGGATGCAGGACAAGGATAGTCCTTTGGTCTGATCCAGGAGGTATCTTTTTATATTCATATAACATGTCCCTCTTTAGCTTTTCCTTC